CCCAACAGCAGGTCGCTCCTCACTGGGCTGCAGCACAGCCTGGCACACGTAGTGATAAAGAAGTCTTTTCCTGCTCAATGCACAGACTGCTGGAGCGGACAAGCAGTACAGCTCACTCCCAGGGACAGTCAAATCTTTGATGGGGTCTGCCACCTCAGGAGCCTTAGCTCCAACCCCACTGATAAGGTCTATCCCTCCCCAGCCTGATCACGTCTCCAGCAACGCCTGCAGGAGGAGGAAATAACTTCATTCTAGGACAGCTTCCCCCTCCAGGCAGCAAAGGTCTCCATTCTAGACACTATTAGCAATCCCTCCCATTCCCTCCCCAAGGGGCAGCAAGAGATCCAAAATCGGGCACCACCTAGTCACTCCCTCCCCCCGCCCCATCCTCCCAGGCAGCAAAGGATCTGGAATTGGGTACCTCCTCCCCACTCCCTCAAGCATCACACACCGCCCCCCGTCCCTCGCCCCAGGCAGTACGAGATCCAGTACTAGGCACCACTTCCACCGCACAGTTCAAAAGCAAAGCAAAAGAAATTAAACGGTTAAACGAAACGTCTTCGTTAAGTGTGTGGTGCTAGTACTTATCACTGCCTGTTGTTACTGGCTCATAGTGGTGCAGCCCCCAAAGACTCCGCCCTTATCAGTTTCGGTGCAGAGAAGGCCTCTGTGCTACTTTCTCCTAAGTATGCCTCAAAACCTGTTTGCAAGACAAATCCAAAAATTTCTTACAGCACGTATCCAAAAAAGCAGTATTTCCTTTAATTATTTTTCACCCTTATTGCAATTCTAGAATTGCTACTACTAATGAACGTTATTCTAGGAAGACGCTACCCACAAAAAAAAAAAAAAATCACAGGTTTGGCCAGAATATGCTAGCAGCACGTCTTGGGACCGAGGCAGAAATTAGGTCTCTGTGGAGGCAGCTCCCTATGATCAGCAAGACTGAATTACAGTGCGTTGGAGATAAGCACAGGGCTTCATTCCTGTTCTGCGTGGAACAGACGGGACCAACGTAAAGCAGCAAGGGCTACGGGCTGTTGCAGAGTAGGCAAACGAAGCACTGAGCTTGATGCCTCTCCCCCTTCCCAGCACCACAGTGCTTGGCACCAAAGCAGGGAGCTCTGAACAACCACCTCTCCCCCCCCCCCCCCCCCCCGCCCCGTTTGTGGTGGTCTTTAATCGAGGCCTTTACGAGAGGCCACTTCTGAATGCCGTAACAAGCACGAGCACAGGGAGCTCTGACGTGTCTGGGGGTGCTGCGACTCAAACGGCAAAACAGAAGGGACAGCGGTTCATCTGTGACAGTCACAGAAGCCCAGACACAAACTGTACCTGAAGAAATCCTTCTCCCTCATCATACCCGCATGTGATTGACATTGACTACAGGAGGAAACAAACTGTGAAGGTTCAACTCCTATTATTCAATACAGCAGGGATACTATAAACAGGAATGGTTCTCACCCCATACTGCTGCTCCTGAAGTGACATTAAGCTTGCCTCTTGACTGGGTTTAAGTATTTCACACAGTTAAAAACAAGCTGTTTTTCAATTTACTCTGCAGTGCTGTGACTAGGAGGACTATGGCACGTGTACACGCAGGACAGCTGATGTGTTGTCTCCCAGGTTCTCCAACACATTCCCAGATTTGGTGCAGGAAAGCCAGTGATCGGAAGCCCCTCAGTCTGTGCAGTGTGTCCACTTACAGGTTCAGAGCCATCACCATTGCAACCCCCAGTGTCCGAGTGAAGTGCCTCACCCGCGGTGCCACAGACCGTGACCAACATTTAGTGTTTTACTGGGAGAGCTTCTTGACAAGACACTGCAGCCTTGCAGGGGGCAGAGGGATCTGTCACCTTCCGAAGGGTCTACAGGCACAAAGGGGACACTCTTCTTTGCAGTTATCAACGCAACAGGTGCAAGGAAATGGCATTGGTCCCCTCCCGCGGCAGCAACCTTGGCGGGAGGAAATCCCCATCTTACCCTGCTGCAGGGATCCTAACAGAACAGCTGGGGCCGAGTCAGGAGGACTCTCTTACATCAGCAACGTCTTTGAAATCTGGACCTACAGCAGGCAGAGCTGAGGTGGACCACGACGACTACGGGCATACGTGGATCACTAACCAGCACCGGTAGCGCCAAGCTGGGGGAATGACTCAACGTACCCCTGTGGGCTGAGCCCATGACAGCGTCAGCTCATGACTAGAAACCTCGCTGTTTTCACTGCCCACACTAAGGAGATATTAGTGGCCACTGGCCCTCTTTCTCCACCTCTAAAAGGGAGTTTAAAGTACCTGCAGCCTTCATAAAGGCAGCGACTCATAGTTGTATCTATGAAACGTGGCCGTTAAGTGCTTGTGAAGGTCATTTTAAGGACAAGCCAAAAACATCACCTTGGAGTGCTCCTTTCAACAAAGGAGGTGATGCAAAACCATCACCACTAGCTTCGATTTTAGTACAACAACGCCAGGGAATTGCGCTCATCTCGCTGAAGTGACACGGACATCTTGCGCTGCAGCACTTGGAGGGTTAAGTAGGTGGGAAGCTTTAACCTCGCACTAAGGTCCTTCCTGCTGCGCTTCCTTCAGGTAGGAACTGATGCATCTTGTCAGCAGTGTTGGACAGAGGTCTGTCTGCATTTTCTACATCCCTGATGGGCTTTGGGATAAGCACCGGCCGAGGACGAGGTACCCTAACTGCACTGAACGGTACCACGGCCGAACGATTCGGCGCAGGCTCCCGCTTCTCGGTTCTGCCCCATCAGCAGTAGTCTCTGCTCCCTAGAGGGAGGAATGTCTTGGGAAAAGGAGTCTCAATACTGACTGTGCCCTCGAGGCTGATGAGAAGCTAAACATTTCCTGTTACATGATCAGGACGTGCTTTTCATCTGTTGCCCAGCTGTGAATAATGAGCCAAACCAACTTTTTTAAGCAAAATTGATGGAGTTATGCTATCAAGTAAGCATCTACTTTAATTGGTAGAAGTTTCTCAGGCATGAGGGCTCAGAAACTGGCTATGCCAAATTCACATCGAGATGTATGCTTCTATTCCATTCCAAACTTACACATCCCCATAAAATTTATTTTGGCTCTCCTGCTGACACACTACTGGGGCAGTGTCAAAGGAGGGAAAACAGGTGATTTCAGTTTTAGTGCATCTCCCATTTTTGGAGTACAAGCCTCTGGTTGCATTGTACATCAAGCAGAAATACTATATTCCAACAAGATGGGAAAATATTTAAAAATTTACAAATGAATTTACAAATGAACCTTTGCAGAGCGGAGCTTACAGGACACCTTCTGCAGTGGCCACTGTCCCACGTGTGTAGGAAAACAGAGGGGACGCACAGTCCCAGGCAATTAAGCTCTCTGTGGCATCTGATTAGAAATTCCAGCACTAAAGGACTGCACGGGTTCTCTGAACAGTCCTGCAGTTTTGTTACTTCCATCCTGCTTTGACTTTACTTGAAACATGCCATATTCGCCTAGTCTGGAAACACGCACAGTAAAGAGCAGTCTTACATCTGGGCTACGACACATTCTGCAAACCTGTAGTGCCCCAGTCCTCCCCAGCACCTCAGCTGCCAGGTCTCCGGTGCTGTGAGTGTGTTTCATAAGAAATTGCCCATTTGTGAGTTACCTTGGCAGTTAGTTTTAGGTCAGGACCTCAGAACTGTAGCGTCCCTAGAAATGCAGCTCCCACAATTTCACGGGTGTGTTCAGAACTGTTCGAAATCTAACGCTTTCTTTGACAACTGACTCCAGGACCCCGACTGCCAGTGTCACAGCAGACTGCACCCAGCCTAGGGTCTTCCTCTGGGGAGTTTACACTTTGCCTCTGCTTGTTGTGCTTGTCCATAACAGGTGGGTATGTGGGAGGGTTGTGCTGGGTTGCATTAAGAGCATTGTATTACCACTACGTACTTCCCCACTCTAGGCCCTGACTAAGACAAAGTGCCCAAGAAGAAGTGAATATGTCTATTGACCGATTGTAAAGGTGAGAGAGGATCTCCAAAGCCCATTGTCACTGCTGCCATCTGAAAGACAGTAAAGACAGAGTTCAGTCTGTTGGAGCTGAGCATACTACGGCTGTTTGTAAAAACTCAAGCAGAGCGGCGGCACAGGGAACCTGCGAGAGAGGCCTCTCCTTCCTTGCCCCTCACTGCCTGGTCCCAAGGACTGTCCAGCGCTGGGACCCTGCAGATTCCAGTCCCACCAGGTCAGGGTGGAGTTGTGCTGCTGCCACTGCCTCAGGAAGCAGGGTCTTCTCCCAGGGGGGACTCAAGGCAATAGTAACCTCTGCAACCACTGTCGTTGACTCACCCCCAGCATTTAAAAAGGAGCCCCTCAACTAGATCACACACTCGGAAACATGCACAGCCCTGAAAGGCCAGAGCTGCCCAATGTGGCAAGCACATCCACAGTGATTCTTCATTAAAAAAAATCCAAATTCCCAAAGCCACTATTTTGGGCTTTCTAACTTCGAGTAGAAGGCATTGAGATGTGTTCAAGAAACCTCTGAAGGGAGGGAGATTTAAACACCAGTTACAGGTTCTCCCAGGACACAGGCATTCCAGCACCAGCAGGAACAGCCAATGGAATTTATCCGAAACTGAGAGAGCATCTGGGTGAGGGGGAAGGAAATGGAGCAGCACTGTCAATGGCACAGGAGAGACAGGCACCCTCCCCTCAAGCAGAAGAGATGGTGAAAGGATACTGTTCCCAGTAACCCTAGACACCACCTTAAATGTAAGTCAAAAGTGAAACCCACAGCAAATTCTTTGGCTTCTAGCATTTCCAGAAGCATCTGGAGAGCCAACAGGTGAGAAGCTTAAAAATTTACTCTTTGAATAAGTGAAATTTGGAGGCAATTCACACAGGTGAATAAGGTGGGTTTCTTTAGTGGGCTGAAGACAGTATACTTCAGTTTCACTGTGGAAACATGAGCTCATGTACCTGGCTCCGGGCAGGCCTCAGGGCTGTGCTCTGGTTCTAAGTGCAAAAAGAACTCCACCTTGTGGGGGAGAGTAAGGCACAGAAGGAGCATCTCAGAGGGTCTCTCACCTGGAGGTTGGTGAGCTGCTGTTGCTGGTGGGCGATGGTTTGCTTCACCAGCACGCTCTTGATACTCTGCTCCATCGCATACTTCTTTGCCTAGAAAGAAATACAGACTCTGTAGTCACAGCACAGCACCGCAGAGCAGGGAACGGCGTTTGGTTTCTCACCACAGCTCCCCAGAACCACACAACTGGCTGCCAGTGGAACCTCTCGGCGCTCCAGCCCTAAGCACTAAGGCACTGTCCATCAGCCAGTGGCCAGCAGCTCGCTAACGTCCTGGTCTGCACCTCGGAGTCGTGAGCCCTGAGACACAGCGCAACGCTAGAGCAGAGGCCGGGCCGGGCTTGGTCTGCAGCAGGCGCCGTGTTCGGAAAGCAGCATGCACTAGACACTCGGCACTTCCCCTCTTCCGCCCTCTGCCCCTCGGATCCCACCAGAGCGCCTTACCTGCTGGGATGAGGGCAGGACAGATAGCCTCCTTCAACTCCTTTCCACTCAGAGAACATCTGGACAAAGAGTTTCTACAAAAGGGAAGGGCCTCCACATCCCCACGTCCAGTCTCTTGACTGGGCACTCCCCCTCTCTTTTCTAACCACATTTGGCCTATTCTAGTTTGGAGGACCTGCTGCTTTTGCTCGCTAAAATGCTCCAGCTCTCCTCCTCTGGTTCGCAGCCTGCAGACACAAGACTGATTTGCCTTTTGCTTTCGGTTTTCTACAGATTTGACAAAGCCTGAGCTTTACACCCAGCGGTGCTGACATGGAGGCTCTTTGTCAAGGGAAACCTAAAACCCACATATGTGCCTATTCCCAGGGGACGGTACAAACACATTCAGCCAACCCCTCAGGCACCTGCTTTCCATGGCTGTACGTGTTTGGGAGGTGCCAGGGAACGGCAGGCTCTAAACCGTGGATTTGAGACGTGTGCTTCGGAAACCTGGAAACGGACAAGGGGATTTACATCTGTCAGCTATGGAGAAGCCAGAGGAAACGAGGCCGTTTCACACTGAGTGCCAAACACACACACAAGCAGCTTCAACATCACGGGAACATTCACACGAAGCCTACCTAGAACAATGCTTTACGTGCCTCACCAGAACACTGAAGACACCTAGCCCACAGTTCCCGCATTCCCTGGTTTTGTTTTCTTTCCCCTCTTTTTCCCAACTCTGCTTTCCTCTCAGTAAGCCAGGCATCACTCATTCCCATCAGGAAAGTGGGCAAGAAGTCAGCAGTAACCTCCCCACCAGCTGTATAAAACAGGACCAACAACCAGAAATCAGAGCTGGACCAAAATTTTATCCAGATTAAAACAGGTTGGCTCAAACAGGTTGAAAATGCTTGCTATTGGGTCTCTTTATAACAACATGGGAAAGAGCATAAGGGAAAAACAGCGACATTTTGTGACGTGTTCCTGTGTGGACAGAATAAAAGACCAGCTGGAGCACAGCAGAAACCTATTCCCTGTGGAGTACAGGCTGCTCCCCGCTGCTCCTCGCAGTAACACTGTGGCAGTTGTATATTGTCTTAGAACTACAATGTGATCTTGAAATGTCATTTACTTACTATTTTTATTTTTAATTAAAAACACTCTCCCCACCCCAACAGCAAATTCCACATCATGCTCCCCAAAAATCAGGTGTAACTCTAAACAAAAACAAAGAATTCTCGGGCACAAATTTGAAAGTGTGAATCCACAGACTGCACGGCCATACACGTATTCTCAGTAGGCGAGTTCCCTTTTATAACATCAGTAACAGATGCTCATTTTAAAATAACAACAAACCAAAAAATCCCAAACAAACCAACCAGAGTGCTACGAAGCAAATTTACATCAAGTTTACTCACTTTCTGGAGAGCTTCCTGCTGTTCTGGTGTGAGGGGAGGAAGCCCCAGCTTAGCCGCCGTGCTTTGTCCATTTTCCATCTTAATGGACTCTGTACCCTGAGGAAACAAAGTACTCATGAAAAAAACTGTTCTCACAAAGGTGACCAACTTCTTCATTCCCAGAAACCCAAACCACTTCATGTCAGAACGTCACAGTTGGCTAAAAAGTCTTCCCAAACCTACTAGTAATTCATGAAAGCCGGTTAGCATTCCAGCCGCGCCCTATGGGAGAGCTATCCCATCAACCGTACAAACAGATAAGCACGTTGGAAAAGCGTTCCCTAACCACCAGCTCTTCAGTTAAAAGAAGATTAGATAATCCCCAGTCTTCACTCACATCACCTCCACCCAGCCTCTCAACAGTCAAACTCTGTCAAATGTACCCATCTATTTTCCCCTTCCACCTCTTCCCGTACCAGTTTGCCACCCCCAGTTTCTCAAGCTCTCTTTCTAAGGCCTTCTCCGACG